TTTGAATACTGTAAATATAGATATTTGAAAATCTTGCAATTTTCAAACTTGAGAACTTTATTTCGTTTGTATCTTGTGTCGTATTTCTTTGTCTCTTTTCCAACGAAGATAATATTTATGATCGCAAATAAGCCGATTCGATTTAAATACGTAAATTTTGAAAGAAAATCTTGACTCTCTATTATACAAATACCAAATACATCCGCGTGCACAAAAATCTAGTTTCGTAATTAAAAATTTAAATGAATACGTTCGAAGAAGATTCACCAGATCTGGATTACTACCCGGTTAACCAGATTGTTGTATACGCTTGTCATTTGTATGAAATGCAGTTGGATTTAGAAAGTATGGACAACCACGAAGATACGCACTTTCATGGGTAAAGAGAAAAAGAATATATAGAGAAATGAAGATAGAGGGGGTAAAATAAAAACACGTAGAGCGGAAAAAGTGGGGTTGAGGACACGCGAGCCATCCATAATGCACAGACCGCGGTGAAGATGCGTCAGCAAGATAAATCCAATAAAAAATGGAGGAACGAAAAAAAAAAGATCATACAAGAGTTGATGAGGCGATTTTGTGAATTTATTTAGTTGTCCAAGGTCTGAATTTGCGCAATGAAGATGATTCAACATTACATTTTACCTACATAATTTTTTCGTTTATCTATGGTTGGGATTGACGTAATTAACTAAAATCTAATAATTAAGCAGTATACAAAATTCGTGGTTCTTAGCACTTGGTTTTTTATAGTAGTGGAAATTAATAAATTGATAGGAGTGTGAAAAGATCTCTTAAATGTTTAAAATATGATTTACTTAATTAATTAAGTAATTATTGTTATAATACAAATATTATTATTATTAATAATAAATACATATTTTATATTAATTATATATTATTATTTTATTATTAATAATATAATACATATTACATAAATAAATATAATTACTTAATTTATTAAGCAATTATAATTATTACAAAAATTGATTTATTTAATAAATTCTTGTAATATCAATTTTTAATTGTATTATGTATTAGTAAACAAAATTTCAATTTGTTACTCTGAGTATTATATTATAACGGATTTTAAAGAAATTTAAGGGAATGATAAGTGTCTTGATAGAGGAGTAGGCATTAGTAATAAATATTTGAAGTAAAAGGTTGAAGTGAAGATTTTTATTTACAAAAATTCTTGTCTACAAATCAGATTACTCCGTCGTCGTTCAATCTCAGATAGAAATATTTCGGCGTGGAAATAAACGTGATTCGAAATAACCTATTAATTTCCGTAAACTTGGCGTGAAGTTCTCGTCGGGGGGAAATTGTCAGAACCGAGAAATTGGCTGCAAGTACTCCGAGAAAGCATCTGGTGGCCATCTGGTAACAGGCCAAGTGTAATATTTTTACGACGATCGCCGATATACTAATCTCTCCTGCGATCATTTCGACAAAAAAATATAGGTGATTTCCTTTTATGCATTTAATGCGACAATAATGAAACATCATACAGGCTTATTAGCTTAGGCTTGGTCTCATCGTGTTGTTTCGTTATTTTGATTAATAGATTGACGATTATTTAATTTTTGATTTTAGTGTAATTTTTTTCCAGTATTAGATTTATAAATTTTTTAAATTTATGGTATCTAAGAGTTAGAAGTTTTATTATTTATGAACATGCATTAAAAGAATTTTATTTTTGAATTTTTCCGTGACCTACAAATATTATTTAATTTTTTATCATTTTGTTTCATGCTAGTTAGTCTCATTTTTGTAATTTTTCTGCTATATTTCGTTATTTCGTTCGTATAAACGATATTATAATATTGGTTAAATCATTTGAATTAAACAGTTTAGTAATTTATTTACAGTTAATTTTTTATTATCTGAATTTTAATATATCATTCAATTTTTATTCCAATTCGCATACCAATTTTGTTTGTTATCAGTATCAATTTGTTTATAATCTACTGATTTATTAGTATGTTAGATAAAACTAAATTTAATATCATTTTCTGTTTCTTCTTCAAAAGTGCAAATTTCATGCTATTTATATTCTGAGCTAAAGTAAGTAACCCAATTTCGAGACGACCGACAGGAAATACGCATATTGAGATACTTTCGTACGTTCATTAAACTACTGTTGGTGTGCACTAATTCGACGAAACAAACTATGGTTCGAAGCCACAGGACAACATATTGATTTCCTTCGTAGACTGGACACTAGCTATTATCGATCGGTTAAAAAGTTCAGGGCTGTCTCCTGTGTCTGTATGTCTTTTCAAAACATGATTTATCGGTTACTTATTTGTTATAAAAATTACGTATGAAAATTTGAAATAATTACGAAAAAAGATCGATCGACAATTAAATGAAATATCGTACACAGAAACTGTGCAAAAAACACAAATAACAAAAATTATTTCGCTGATGTAGAAAATACTTTCACTCGAAACCTGCGTTGAATATTTTAATATTTAATTATCAATTACAGCTGAAAGCAACAAATTGAATACCAGTCGTTAGTTTCGTACAACCAAACGGTCAATTGTCGATAAGAATTCGAAGAAAGATAATTGGTTTTAAAGAGTCGTTGGTCAAAAGAAAACGATCGTGTCACGATAAATTGAAGAGCACGCCATGGAGCGACTGAAAGTCGGAGCCGCGCGGTGTTTTTTTACACGCAATCGCGATTCTTGAAAAAGAAAAAGAGGGGAAAGAGCTAGAGACAGAAGGCACTGCCGTGGAACGTATATATATATATATCACTTTTCTTTTTTCTTTCTTACGCCTGTGAATTTTATTATACTAACGTTGGTGTTAGGTAATCGTGTGCCGTGTATATCGAGAAGTATCTTTATATATTCGTGAAATGACCTGTACACACACGTTTGTCGTTGGTTTGTTGTTGATTTGCCGACACGTTGAGGATTTTCCTGTTTTCTTTCTTTCTTTATTATTATTTTTTTTTTATTTTATTGGATTTGTTGCGCATTTTTTTTTTCTTTTTTTTTTTTTGTCACGCCTTAGCGGTACCACACTGTTACCATTTTCATAACGCGCCGCTTTCCGTCCACCTGTCTTCCCTTATCCTTTTTACCCACGCATAATATCTACACAAACACCACACGTCTATATTGTCTTTCTTTTTTTAAATTGAGTAATTGATCATTGCAACGGTACACGTGAAAGTAAAACGTCTAAATGATGGCGTTGAGCGCGGATAATATTCAGATTCGGTCATCGAATGGTCAAAGTATGGTTTCGAATTTGATTGCTAATTCAGTGACACGTGTTTTGACAAGAAGAAAACGTATGATCATTGATGCTCGCAAACTGAAAATTACGTGGAACACTGGTTTGTTTTTTCGTCGTATTTTCGACAGTTTTCTGGCAGAGCCCACGGCTCTCGATACAAAACGACTGCGTAGTTTCTTAATATCAAGTCCGCGTCCATTAGCATCGTGTTATCTATTCGTAAAATGCTTTTCCAATAAACCGTTTATCTTAATTGTAAATGTAGAAGAGCGCGGAATACGAGGTTCGAATTCGTGCTTTACTTTCAGTCGAGTATTTGCCTGCGTGAATCGTTCGCTATACACACGTAGCTGTACACGCGTAAAATTCCAATTCCACCACCCTCCTTCCATTCTTTTCCTTCAATACTTAGCTGCACAGGGAGAAATGTACTGTTAAAGCTTCCGGTGTCCATCAAGTTCTGTTGATTACCTTGAACAAGGTAAGAGAGAGAAATGATATTGTATCAAGAAAGAAACTCGATGGACCGCAGGTTGTTTCGAACGGCAAGTGTGATTACATAGGACTAAATGATCTTGGTGGACTATGTACAGCGAAAAAAAAAAGTGATTCTAGTCTAAAGCTAAAGTAAGAAATATTCGGAATACTTTGTAGAAAGTTGATTGTAACAATCGTTACAGTGTTAGTGTGTCATGTACCAAATATATTGCAATTATTCTACTGTTTTTTTAAATATAGATTTAGGATTGATATTATTGGCTTATATACAGAGAATGATTGTGTTTTGTAATTTATAATATTTATGAAGATTATCAATATTTTTACTGTTACGTGTTTCATTCATATAATAGAAGTTTTTTTGAAAATAAAATATACATATTTTCTTTATGCATAAAATATGCATGTAAAGTAGAGTATATGTTAGAATGGAGAATAATATGCTTAAAATATTCAAACAGTGAAATGACGCGTTTTTCTTGAAACAGAAACGATGTTCTATTTGAATACTTTTTTAAAATGATGAAATCAATTTCTTTGTATTTTATGTAAGAAAAATAGCGATGAGAAAAATATTGAGCAAATCTTTCAGATTTGTGTTTCATAATCAAAACATTAAAACTAAAATGAAATTTAAAACAATTTAAAAGGAGTAATTTGTTATCATGCTACAAATATATTCATTTTTCTAAAATTTCGTGCACAAAAAAAATATTTATATAAAAAGATATTAACCGTATCCTTCGAATTCTCTTCTATAACCAGAATATTGAGAAACGAGAATAAAATGTACAACAATTTAAAAAGTTTATCACATACGTTATAAATTAGAAAGTATTAAGTACAGTAATTTCTCCATACGTCATAAATATAAAATCTAGAATTATAAAAGATATATAGAGCTGTAACACAGAAACTCTTACATATTTAAACATACAAGAGAAATTCCAACTGAAACGTTACGATTAAACTTTGTTCCTTGACGACTTAACATACGTACACGTCATACGAGTAAAAATAATATCATTGGCCAATAATATCGACCGACTACCTTATAATTATCTCGTTAACAACTACATGTATCCAACATGCAACAGCCTGTCGCAGTTAATGTCACTGAATTGTTAATTTTCTAGTCCACCATGATTAAACGATCGCGAGTATTCTTCGATCATTAGATGAGTGCCGGTTGTACGATGGGTCGATCGTTGAGCTGTCTAATCGTTGGATGATTTTGATTTCAGGGTGCCACCGGGTTACGTGTACCAGTCGCCTTACCTGGCGGCTGCGGCGCCAGGTGGTTTGGTACCGCTTCCGGCGACACAGTTGACCCATGCAGCGGCGATGGCAGCAGCGTCTCAATTTTACGAGTACCAAAACGTCGCGGCAGCGGCCGCCACGTATCCGGGAACATCGTACAATTTCGCCGAGGCGTATCCTTATACCAGCGCCGCTGCGGCTGGTATGTGTTTGAAAAGTGTCCAGAGCAAGGACAGCAACGGGCTGATACACCACCACCAGCAGCACAATGGTAGCAGCCCTGCGGTGCTGGCACACCAACGATTGGAGAAAGCTCTCCTGCCGCCCTTTCTGCCGTCCGTGCTACGTAGCAACGGTAGAAAATTATTAGAAAAACCAAACGCACTGAAACAGACGGAATGCAAGCTATTAAACGTACGGGGATGTATGCGAGAGAGAGAGAGAGAGAGAGTGTGTGTATGTGTGTGAGAGAAAAAGAGGAATATTATGAAGTTTCTGTTATGGAGGAATCTCTGCAAGATTCCCACGAACTTTCCAAATTACGCCATTTATATTTCGAATTTGTTCTCTGAATTACATGTTCTTTTACTGAGCTTTGCTTCATTAGATTCATTACGAAGTTTATTTACATCTTGCTCTTGAGAAGTTTTTTTTGAAAAAAATTCAAATTTACTAATATGACGAAAGTTTCCTTTATTTCCATGTATTCGCAAGTTTTGCAAATTGATAGACGTTATTATAACGTTGAAAGTTAATTTCCGAACGCATGTGCGGAGGAATTTCTTTTCTACGTTGTCCGTAGAAGCTTGCATGTTTCGTGGACGCTAGAGTATACGTCAAGTTTGCGTAATAAGGTAGTTTTTAGTAAAGATTAACAATACTTGAAGAGCTGCACGTGTCGACGTTTTGTGGCACATTTTTTGACCATGATGGAATTAGCGTTTTCGAAACTTCTGAAAAATATTTCGTTTATTGCGTCTTTTCTACTGAGAACGGACCTTGACACGAATCTTAAAAGAAATTGATCAGAAAAAAAGCAAACACTGATTTCATTTGACTTTTGAGATAGAAAGTAGATATCTTCGATGGGAATCTTGCTGAGAAGAATTTTTACTCGTTTCATTTGTTTCGCTTCTTCATATTAGCGTATGTGTTTTGTAGTTCTATCGATTAGATAAAGATTTGAAGTAACAGAGTTTGCATTTGTCAGGAGAACTTTCTGCAATCCTTTTCTTTCAAAGCTTGTATTAAACGATAATTTTCCAAGATTATCAGCAATTACTTTTATGTTATTCGTACGTTCTCAGGAATATGATCACACGAGAAAACGCTTGTATAGAGATTTTTTTTTTAATTTGCGCTGGAATGTTCGCTGTCGGTATAACAGACACAAAAAAAAAAAAGAAAGTTAAAATGCAATATTGCATGCTTAAGCTGGCTTCGCATTCAACACGATCAACATGCAAATTTTGTTAATGCTCTGATGTGCTGTCTACGGTGGTGGTGGGAAAAATGTCACGATGGATGACAGTAGTCAGTAAGCTTTTATTACGCGATGATAGCGTTTTAGTAGAGTATCGAAACTTAATTTTCGACAAACATGAAGAATTAGAATAAAAAAAAAAAGAGTACAAATTGAACATTTATTTATAACAACGATATTTTTGAGAAAGAGATGCAGGTAATTCTGTAATAAAAAAAATTTTTAAATTACGTTTTTAATAAGTGCACGTATATACAATGTATATATAAATGTACAGTTGAATAGAATTTGGTAATTTAATTTCTCAAAAAGAATTAATTATTTAATTAAAAGTATAAAAATGTAAATAGAAGTGTTAATATACAGTGGCAGAGAGAAAAAAATTTTGAGAGATATTAGGTACAGAAATGAATTCATACCTTTCTCTAGATAAACTTATCATTCATTTATTTATACGTTAAGAGAAAATGAATGGAAACAATAATGAAATTAAAATTATGGTATAGCAATCACGAATCATCAGGTCATTTCTAGCAAATTACAGATGGAAATCTGGATGTACACAGTCTCTGGTCATACAATTATAATAACTCAAAATTTTCAAAGTTTTATGTACTTTTGATAAAATTTAGAACGAAAAATTTAATTACAAGTTTTATTAACTATTAAAGTATTGCATACAAAATGTCACATATTAATAATTTATATGTATGTTATTAACTATTAAAATATTACACACAAAATATATAATATAATAATATAAATAATATATACAGTAATATACATGACATTTTATAATAGATCGCTATGCTAAAGTATTAATTATAGAAAATAAACAATTAAAGAACTGCTCCATTTGAATTTTTAAAAATGTCTTATAAAAGCAGATAAAGTAGTATGATAAAGTAGTATACATACATGAAATATAATGCAAATTTTGTGATGAGAACAAAGGAAAAAGATACAATTATACTATTAATGTATATTTGTATTAATTATTGATAAAATTTATTGCTAAATGACATTTCGATTTTCCAATTTTACTAAAAACATGTAAAAAGTTGAAAAATTCTATTGGGCCAAGGAGACTGTACCAATTTCTCTGCCACTCTATTTGAAAACTATAGGTTTGCACATTGTATTATTTGCAAATTGGTATTCTTTCTCGAAGGATTGCCTGCGCTTAAATCGTACTACAGCTTAGAAAACGATTTACTTGTTTTTACAGCGAACGCAGCGGCGGCAAGTTACGTGACACCGTATACGTATGCAACGCTACCAGGTGCAGCGGCAGGATTACCAGCAGCAGCGGCTGCAGCTGCAACAGCGGCGGGCGCTGCCTTCCCAGGACTACCATATCAAACGACGCCTCAGGAAGCAAGATTGCAATAGAAGTTGGATGAATTGCCGCGGGGAAATTGGTACCGTCGCCGATTGTTCCACGCAGGCATTAAACTCGTAACACAAAACTTGATCCTCGCCGCCGTATAAATGCGTAGTGTAGTCTTCATCTGTCTCTGCGTCGATCCACCTCCTACCTTATTCGAGAATCGAAGCATTATTCGGAGCGGTTGCACGGCGCACCGAAAGGGAGCCATTGTTTCAACGACCTAGCTCCGCGTTCTCACGAGCTAATTTTGGAAACGACGACGCCCAAAGCGGGAGACAGAAAACGCGAGGAAACTTTCGTCGATGCGATCTACGTCACCCGAAGGATCGACGGATTCACAGTTCCGTACTAATTTAACCTTTAATCTTCCCCACCTTAATCTTCCTTTCCACGTTCTCCTTCGTAGGGCCAAACTTGGCACGCTCGGCCAACGTGTATACTTTCGAGATATACATGATTAAATACGTAACGTTCGTTAGCGTTTTATGATTATTTATAACCGATGGAGTACGATGGGCAATAGAGAGGCTTTCGACAGATGCGCGAAACATTTTACGAAACGTCGGATTCTTTATGTCTTTATAAATACATTTGTAAATGAAAAGAAGAACCGAGATTGAAATCTGCAATGTTGTCAGTTTACAGCTACCTAAGATACGAACGAAGTAAAGAGAATTAATTATTACTTGCTGTTAAGTAGAATCGAAAGACTGATCCGTATTCAGAATTGATATTGCTCGAGAAGTGTATTTTTTACCAAATGATAATTGTTGATTGAATTGTTTTGGAAGATGTTTCTTCCGGTGTCAATGAATGACTTTTAATGTTCTTCGTGAACCGTTATTTTATTGCTATTCTCTTCTCTTTTTTTTTTTTCTTTTCTTTCTTTAACGATTATTTGAAACGGAGAATGCGTTGAAACGTAGTTTTGATGCTTTTATAGATATCATTTCTGAATATTGATCAAAGACTATGAACTATTTTAAATTTAAGCGTAACGTCTAGTTTATTTATATTCAACTTATCGAGAAACGAATGTTTTCCATTTTATACGTAGAAGATCGTTCTTTTTATAGTCGACATATTAGAAATTCACGAACGAAGTTTTCACAAAGCTTTAAAGTAACTAGCGTCATGTTTAAATTGGAAAAGAGAGAACACTCGTCTAAATATCTTACTCAGCTAAATGTGAAGAAACGAAGCAGTTTCTTCTAAAATTTTAAAATGTTACTTTTATCTCGTTTTAAACGAATTTAGTTTACATTTTGTAAGAGGTCAGAGATTAATCTAAAATGTACAAATTTTTAAGAATTTGTACATTGTACATTGTTACAAATTTTTAAGAATTTGTACTTTGTGATCGAACAATCAATCATTTTATTTCAAATATTTTTCAAATTTCAATTTATTAAAGACTTTCTAGTTTTGTGGAATCAATACAATATTTTTTATTAATACAATATTTGGGAGGAACATTTGAGCAAATATTCCAGAATGAAAATTGTAGATTCATTCGTGCGAGGTATATTAAAGCGTTTGTAAGTAACGACGATCGCGTTACAATTAAACCGATGTTGCCTTAGAATCGCGTGTCGGCGAAATCACCAAGTGTCTTAACTTATGATGCCTTTGCATAATTTATAGATGTTATTTAAATGAACAATGAGGACCAACGGACGAACGAATCGACGTTGCTGATTATCGAATGTTGATAATCAAAAAACTAAACGAATACCTATTACAAACATACAGAAGGATAACATAAAAGTACCAAAATTCTGCTGATCAACAAATAATGATTGTTTCGTACAAGAGTCTTTAGAGCTTGTAAATACGAATTTTTAGTAGGATTTCATTTTTATACTTGTTGAAGCATCGTCTCTCTTTTCACGCAAGTTACGATTGACATACATTGTTACAGTATATTTTAAATACGGATCAAATTTGTCTAATTGGTTATTGAACATCAACGTGTACCACTTATTCAAGGAGGAATTGCAAGACGCAAAAGAATTCGTTCGTCTTATCTCTTAAAGTGATCAGGTGCCTTAATTAGCACGAGTAATCCTAAAGGTTAAAAACTAGTCAGTGATTCGTTAGCGCAAAGCAATTCGCTAACGTGTGTACAGGGGTGAAACTTGAAAGGAGACGAAACGACGAGATGGGAAATGAGAAAAACGAAAACGAAGAAGAAAAGAGATAACTAGCAAGCAAGAAGGGAAACGAAGGATCAGGCTATGAAGAATGAGAGGCTGTCTAGTCCTACACCCTTCGAAGAATGAGGTTTACTCGATTCGTTAGAATTTTACGTAGACGTAATACGGACGATGAAACACAGAAGGAAACCAAAAGTCTTGTAAAAAGTTAGCAAATGATGCTGTTAGAAAAGCTTAGTGTTAGATATTAATTATTATATAATCGTTCGATTAAGATAATAGGAAAATAAATTAATAACTATCGACATATGATTATTATTATTATTATTATTATTATTATTATTTTATTATTATTATAAATTGATAATTATTATTACTATTAATTATTGATAATATTATTGTCATTATCGATTATTCATTATTGTTCATGTACTTAATGACGACTCGAAGAGAATACGTGTTCGTCCGAATGTATTGCGAATCAGAAGGAAAAAAAAAAAGAAATCTTTTGTTGCGACACGATGAAGATGAAAAATGGATCTTAGAGTTGAACCGTGATGAATGCGTATTTTCATCACGGATACCACTGATTCTTTCAAATCATCCTATACTCTTAGGATTAACGGTTGTAATATATCGTCTGTTATCTTTAATAATATTAATATTATACACTCTATTGGTAGGTTAACAAAACAAAACCGAAAGTAAATATATTGTCTCTAAGAGAAGTGAAAGAAAAGCGAATGCGTCTTGGTCTTATGATAGACCGCGACTATTGTTGTCTGTTGCTTTCGCACGTCATCTGAACTCTTTGCAAGAGACAGAAACCATGAACATATTGATTATCGAAAAATCAGAAAAAAAAAGAAATAAAATCTTAATTTTCAGAAAGTCATGTGTCATTTAATGGCATCCTCGTTCCAAAAATGTGTTTTTTTATCATAATTTACAAAAGAGATCCAGGATGATCAGTTAATCTTAATCAGAAATTTACAATTTTGGTTTTAATAATTAGCCTTATTAATTAGTTAAAAGTAAAGTGTGGAAGTTGGAAGTTAATATTCTTTTAGTAGCTGAAATGAGAATAATTAAATTTGCTTGGAAAACTGTTATAATGAAAATAATTATAAATAACATTTCTTTTACTTTTTGCTCTTTTTCTAAATACATATAAATAAAAAAAAGTTTAGATCTCGATTTTGATAGTAGGTGTTAAACATTCTCTTTCTCGAACCATCCGAAATTCGAACTACATTAGACATATAAATGTACTCAATGTAAAAATATATTTTTTATTTATCGTACACTTTTATTTTATACGTATAAGTATAACATACATACATACATGCATGATATCTGGTTTTATGCAACTATATTGCCAGTTTTTCTATTTTTTAATTTAAGAAATTACAGGAATTATAAAATTTTATTCCTAATTATACATATTATATTGTGATCAGGGCAAATCTAACGAAGGGTTAAAAATGTGATAGATGCATATTAAGTTTTATTCATATTGGATGTTCCTTTTTTTGTTCACTTATGACATCATTTTTCTAGCCGATGTCATATTTTCCAAACGAATATCAGTTATTAGAAGCTATTAGAATATACTATATTAGACATAGAAATTAATTCGTTGTTTTTGTATTAAATTTGAAAACTAAAAATTCGATGAACTTAAATAATCGTTAAATGAAAAGTCTTCTCGAATGCAAAAACTTGTGGATTCTTATGCATTTATGGAAACTTTGAAGATGCAAAAATGCAGGCAATGCATAGAATATGCAAAAATGTATAAAATATTCAATAAAATTTAGTAGAGTAAACAAATTTCCACTTTTTCAGTCATATTCACAAAAATATTTAAAAAAAAAACACATAAAAATCTTATCTAAATTAAAAATTTATCTAAAAAAAGGCATCGAGTTAATTTCTACATTTAATTGCAATTTCCAATTATTACTTTTTGAAAACTAGTTAACTCTGGCCTCTAACCTTCCTTGGTAGTATTCCTAATTATAAGAATCGTTGGTGACAGGAACAACGATTTACGCGTCCATTCCTCGCTATGGTTCGCCAATTGTTTCACGACAAATTTTCCTTGGCGACCGAGGTTAGTGACTTCATCGCCTCGATGGAACTCGATCTTGTCGTTTTTCGTGGCTAAAGATAATCTTAATGGCCTTGTGGGATTGGGTGCCAAGCGTCACGACGGGCCGCAAAAACGAGCAAAGGGGAAAACCGCCCTCGACGTCTCTAAGTCAGGCCCGCAACGTCCGTGCAAAAATAACCGGCTATGTGCTTTTTGGCAAAATAATTTAACGATTTGGTTTCCTTCGTGGATCTTCATAAATTTGTCGCCCTTTCATGCTTCGTCTTAAAAAACTGGCTTTAATCATACGACCCGGGATCTAAAAGTTGGAAAAAATAAATCAAATTTTTAGTATTGTGATAAAAACTAATAACAATTATACTTATAATAAAATATACTTGAATCTCGTTTTACACGTTGGATTTGTGTAAAAGGAAATTGTGTAAAAAAGATTCTTGTTGAAAAAAATGAATATTTTAGATAAAAATTCAAAATGTCTTAATATTTCGTCATCTAATGTTTAAAATTTAGTAAAATAGGGAAGAAGAATTTCAATTTTCGAGACCATGATAAATTTAGTTATGAAAAAAATTTTTTAATGTTTCTATTTGATATTTGAATTTTTACAATTTTTATATAGAATAAAAGTATTTTTATCTTTGATGATTTTCCTTTTTTAACGAAATTACGACAATTTAAAATATTGATAACTTCCCATTGTTATTGGTTTAATTATTCCCTTTACTAGTCGAAGATTTTTGATAAAAGAACAAAAGATGATTTCTGATAAAAGAGCAAAATCCATTTTCAAAAGATAAGAAAAGAAAATCATACCTATACCGTTAATTGGATCTTACATAAAATATCATAATCTTCGATATTCTTTTTTAAAAAAAATTCGTACAAACTTCTTACATAATTTAATAGATTAAGATTATCTTTGACTTTTTAATTTCGGATTAATAATGTAACATTGCAAATTATAGATATCGTGGATGTCAGATAAAATGACACATTATGAAAGTCATAAGAAATATATAAGAAATCTTAAATATCTTACTTCATAATTAAAGACTCTTTATAAAAAACATTGCCAAAATTGGAAAATTTCGTTCCTGTATTGATACAAATTTTATACAAAATTGAATATTCTTCGAATAAATTATCATTTTCGACAATTGTCGTCTCTTAAAAAGGAACAGAATTTTTACATATTTATATTATTTATACTAACTTTATATTAACATGACATTTACATTTATACTACTTATTATACCCACTGTTATTACACTCTTATTATTACATATATAAAATTCAGATATTTTAAATTCATAATTTTCATGAAACACAGTTACATAAAATAATTATAAAATATTATATATTCCAAATATTTCCCATCCTGTTTAATTTTGCACTTCAGAACTTTCTACAAGTTCCACAAACTCGAGTGATAAAAAAAAAAAAATTCTATTGCTAGTTATTATTAATATTATTAATATTAACTTATATATTTAACTTACTTATATTGTTATTATTAATACAATATTATTATAACTTCATTCAAAAAAAAAAAACAATGCAGAATTTTACACGCGCTAATTATACACATTACATTGACATTAATTACATACATATTGACATAGTGATAAAATATACCAAAAGAAGATACACGAAAGGAAGAAATAATAAGAAATTTTCTCCAATGCGAATGTGAGAATTGTCGGCGTGTTTAGCACAGACTGCAACCAATCGTAGCGCAGAATACCTGTGGAATCGGTGTCGACTGGTCATCGTTGGCAACGATGATGAGATGTCAGCACGGGTGCTTCATTGATAACGTGTTTTCTGAATGACGCCCCGCTTATCATTCGTTTTGATAGAGAAATAGTAGGGGAGCATTGCCATTGACAGAAGAGCGAGCCTCAGTTATCCCGCGTTTATCCGCGTAAACTAGAGCGCTCATAGTGCGCTCGGTGATTTTTTTGGAGTTAACTCGGCGGACGAAGGAGGTGACGAGCAAGGAAAGACTCGAGGATCGCGATCCAGATAGGACTCGCGACCTGGAAGTCCTTCCTGAGTCCATGCGGAAGCACGTGGCTTAAGGTCAAGGTGAGACTAATAGAATTCTCGCGTGTCTTCGCTTCCTCCTCTTGCACACTTTGCAGCAACTACTAATGTTTCTATTACGATCGCTTATTTCTCCATACGATTCTGTCATGCTGCATTATTAAAATTACCGAAATACCAGCTGTCTCGCTTTTAGTGCAATATTAAATCAATCGAACGCGTTTTCACATTTATCACCTCGAAAACGTTGAGATGTTTGAAAATCCTCTCGATCGAGTGAATCGTAAGTAAGGACCAGCGCGATTTTTATTTTCTTTATTCGAATGTAATTAGTTAAAAAAGCATAGATACATATAATTAAATATCGTGAGATTTCAATTTTGCAGTTAATAAGCGCTTTCATTTCATCAGGTTCTAGACTTTTAGTAACATCAAATTTTTCTAACTCTATGTATCACCAAACGGAACTAATTAATTATTATATAAACAGAATGATGCAGAAATACTCTTCGTAGCCACCGTACCTACAATTATCGTATAATACTGTGTAATACATATTGTCCATTGTACTTAATTGACTAATTTCTTCGATCTTTCTTTTTCCTTTCTTACTACAAATGCTTAATCTGCTACAATCGCGCAAATTACCTTGCCGATTACGTAGTTGTGTTGACTTTAAAACATTATTTCAAATTAATCGACTGACATACTTGATTATTTCGAGAGTATCGATAGCACTCTATAGATTGATACAAAAGCATCGTAGCTGATTATTATATCATCGATCAAGACGCTTTTTTATTCGACGTTCAGTTCACAACTGTTCACTGGTTTCTCATAGTATAGTTTTATCATGCACACGTGTCGCGTATAAAAATGTTTGACTTTCAGAATAGAAACACGTTCATCCGTGTCTTTTAATTGATTAATTGATAAAGGAAATACCTACGTGACATTTCGTGGTACTTAATAATTTTCGGTACAATTGTCGATACGAAATTTATATGAGTAAATTTATTCTATTTATGAAACCATTTACCATTACTGTTTAGCTTTTCCCGACTTGTATTTTTATTTTTCCTCCATTTAAAATTTGCTAGAATAATTTACAGAATGGTATATAAATTTAAAATAGATTTAAAAAGAATTTGAGAAATTTGTAGATTTATCGGATTATAATTTATTATAATAAATATAATATCACGATATTTAATTATACGTATCTATGTTCTTTTAATTAATTACTCGAATAAAGCATCGAATAAAGCAAATAAAAATTATAATATATATAGAGTGTAGGATTAGAATTCGCAAAATTTATAAATAATTTTTGGAATTCTTTCAATCGGAATTTTCGTTTTCGCGTCGAATTGTGTGCACATTTCGACTTCTTTTCTTCATGTAAGTCTGTGATAAAGTCAGATTCGCGATTCTTCGCGTGCTTCTTGTAGCACGACGAGGCGGAAGTAACAATCGGCTGGAACTCCGTATTAATGCAGTCTCCGAGCGTCACAACGAAATCTATACCCAGTTAAATTGCAATTGCGTAATCATCTCAGGTGCCTGTGGTACACTCGACAATTACTAAGGAAATGGTTGGTAAATAAATCTATTACGTCGTTTGATTTTTCGACGTTTGCACATGGATGAAATGAAATTATTTCCTTTCTTTTTTTTTTTTTTCTTTTTTTGAATTAATTGCAAAGGAATTCGAAGGGAGAAGAGAACGTGACTTTCACATCTGACGACTCGACAATTTGACGTAGATTTTATTTCATCGTTTTATTGTTAGTGTCAAAGTATTTAGTAAGTTTTGCTGATAGATAATAAAATCTAACTGACGAAGTTGTTATGCGTTAAATCTTTACTGCGAATCGTTCTTCTAGAAAATGATTCGCAGATTATGTTATAGCACGTATTTGAACACGTTGAGATAACAATAATAGTCATTATTACGTTGCATTTCGGAGCACGTTGCGTATTAAATTGCATTCGTACGTGTGTAAATTGTTTGTAAAATTTTTAGAAATTGATGAAATTGTTGTATGTTTAATTTATAATTTATGTGTTTATTTAAATTTAAAGATATGCTTAAATATGTTTAAAGATATTAGAAGTATCTCAATACATACTAAAAATTATATTTAGATATATCAAAAACGTAAAGTTACAAAAGTTCATAAAATATAACATACAAAAATGTATAAAATATCCATAAATAAAATATATAATATTATATAATAATATTTATTACTTATAAACAATATATATATATAATATCATGTACAATTATTATTATAATATTTATAATATTTAATTAAAAAACAGTCTTTACTTCCAACTTTTTGATGGTGTTTATAAAAATATATCGTCCATTATTTTATTGTGTTTTGGAATTTTCATTCATGGTTAGTCAACAAGTAAATGTAGTGATCACATAGTATTATTCTTATATCACAGGTATCGATAAAAATAGTTGTATTTATTTTAGAGTTAGTTTATGATAAAATCGTTTGTTACAGGAAAAACAAAAATATTTGACGATTATATTATTTGGACGATAGGATATTTATCGATTAGAGAGTACCAGAATTTCAAAGTTTATTTTTCACGTGCATTATTATTATAACTCTTCCTCTCGTCGATTCTGCTATCACAATTGGATAGATTAATTGTCGTTTTATTATACTTCTCGTTAATAAAATGGAAAAATTTCTAACGAAGGAAAAATATGTCAAAATGTGTCTAAATGAATATTTTTTAAATCTAAAAAAAATAATTGTAATTAAATAATCACGTAATAATAAATACATCATTATATAGTTTTTAATTATGATTGTTGTTTTAAATACAGTTACATTTAAAAAATTATAATTATATTTTTTAATTATTTTTCCGATGATTATAATTATTTATTTTTCAGATAGATTGAAATTTTATAAAGGAAAAATATTTCTAAACATTTTTAAATACTAGAATATTTTATAAATGTTTTATAGACGTTTATACAACGGTGTGTTTTCAGAGATTTGAATGATTTTTCGTAAAATTCGTAGATAAATGATCCTGCATTCTTTATCATTATAAATTTTTTCTATTTCTCTACATTTTTTATTTCTTTCGCCATTTGTTATTTGTAGCTATTTGTAGTTTCAATTATTAAAAGTTCTGGTATTGAAATAATTGATTTATTTAAAATAATTAGAACTATATCTACCTAAAAGGAAAGCCGTTCGATATAATTGCTTGTATAATCATTACGAAAGAAAAATATCTAAACACGTTTGAACATTTTTTAAAATAATTAAATCGTTTGCTTGAAATAATTAGAACCTGTTTGAAGAAAGTAATTATCATTTTGTTAATTTTATCGACAGATTTCTTAAAAACGTGGAGACATATAAACGTAATGAAACAAATACGCATAGATTTAAGGCACTGCAACTGAATAAATTTACTCTAAGTATATTTCTATCAAGGTCAGAAAAGCAAACAAAATAGCACCTAATAAATAAAGCTAGTGCTGTAAATCATTTCATGATTAAACGGCTTATAGCGATAGATAACGGAGTTATCGCTAACTGAAGGAATTGTATGGAAAGAGAGAAGTTAATGCAATTATCATGACTGACCTTGTTAGATATTTAATTCTATATATATAGAATGTTTCGCGTCTCGTGATCAACCGATTGGAAGGTGATTCTACACGTAAAAATGAGTCAAAAAGAAACAGAAAATTTTTTTCATTAATGTTTTCTGTTTTTAGGAAAATCGACTTTAAAAATTGATCAAGTATATTCGAATTTAATTAATTCTAGATGTGACAGAAAAGAATAATTAACAGGAAGTTATTCTACGCGCAAAGATCAAAAGCGTGGAATATAATCTTTCACCCTTCGTTTTTGAGAAACTTCAATATTCGAGTACACATTTGTACTGAACATGTTCTATTCTAAATTTGCTCAAAATCTATTTTCTTGAAGATAATATCTTAAATAGATTTTCATTTTATTTTATTACATAATATTTATATTAAAATACAAAATTAAAAATAAATAAAAATTTCAACACAGGTTACTGTAATCACCTATAATTTAACGATAATACTCGAGTTAATATTAGAGCTGTAATATTAGAAATCCCAAGTATTCGTTTAATACTTATCATTATATTTTTCATTCTAGATTCTATTATATTTTTTATTCTAGATTCTGTTTTAATGAAATTTGAAGATAATGATGTAAGGATATTAAAGAATTCATAAACTATTATTATATAATTATGATGAATTATACAATTAACAATATAATTATAAATATAATATTATAATTGCATAATTAATGCATGCATAATTGCACAAAATGCATACAATAAATTAGTATTACCTAGTTACCAAGTTATGACATACTATTATTATATAATTATGATAAACTATTTCAGAAAAATCGATGAATTTGTAAACATGATAAACTCCTTAACACTAAAAATAATGAAGTACTTAACTAGCTAGTTAGAAATTTTGTAGATTTACAAAGCTGTGTTTGCGATTTGAATGATTCTTCGTAAAATATATAAATAAAAGTTAGTGCTTTTTATTGCATCATAAACTTCTTTATGTTAATTTCTTCTAACACAAACATTACATTTTAATTGTCGGTAATTTCAGTGTTAGTAGTTAATAAAAAATACATAAATCATTATAAAGTTTACAGTAATATATAATTTTTTATATATATATACATATATAAAAATATTTGTTTATTAACATCTATCATCATACCGTTGTCAGAAAATTACTATCTTTACTTCTTAATGCACTACTCTTTATGCTTTCCATATAAAATTGCCTTGTTTTTTCACAAACACAATACAAAAGATAATTTTAGTATAATGCATGTGCAAGTTATTATTAGGCCGTTAAAGACTAACGTTGCATGAAACGTAAAGTTTCATTTGTTTACATTTCGTTTCATTTCAATTAATTAATCTATTTTATAATATTAGAAGTATGCAAAAAAGCTTCAAGAGTTTGTTTAATATTCTCTTATCCTTATTCGTATTTTATTATAAAAAATCAATTCTTCTTAGAAGATTTATTACAAAATTTGAAAAATTTGAAGACATTCCTATATAATATAATCATACATTATATTGTTTAGTTCTTAATTACAATATTTATTTCAATTAAAAACCTATGAATTAATAATTGTTATAAATATACTGCGGATGTCTATATATAATATTTATGGAAATGATTTGAATGGATAAAACATACATAATACGTCAAATACAAAAGTATAGTATTCTTCTATTTAACATGCTACGCTTTCTGCTTAGGTTTCATCTTTTAAATGTATTTACAAAAATATGAATTTTAAACATTCGCCATCTAGTTATTATAAACATGAATTTAATAGATTATAAATGAAATACAATAATACATAGATTTGCGAATTTTTATGTAAATTCATATTTTTAAAAACGTAATATATATCTATATATGACATACAATATAATATATCGAAATATATGGAAAGTTGTTTTATATATCAAATATTCTAGTTATATTATTATTATAGTGTTTTTGTACTGTAGGTAATTGGAATTTTTGTCTATTTTATACTGTTTTTGTATTATATACATTCTGTTTCATTTCATAGTTTTTAATTTCGTATGAACGCATAAAAGTTCATAATTTATGTATATTAATCCTTTATAAAACGATATTAATCTTTTACAAACGACTATGAAAAGACTATTTGAATATGAAAAATCCACTTCTTTGAATTCTAATATGATAATTTCCTTTCAATTTTCGTCACATTTTTCGTACATCTTTTAGCATATGATGAATATACTTACTAAAAATCGTTCGCCAAATTTCAACATTCACAATATAATATATATTAACTTTGATAAGAATTACTTACTCTATATAAATAAAAACAATAAGAACGAACATGTTTGATATGAAGCACACATTTTTGAAAATAAATTTGAATAAAATTACAATTACCAAATCTAATACCGAATCTAAAATCAGATTTTACTACTACTACTTTATGAATAATTACATAAATAGTGATATAACTAAACATTGAATGTCAAGATCAGAATACTATGAATTGTCATTGGCAATAAGAATCGCTGTTATATAAATATACTTACAGTTCGCAGCAACCTGTTAATCAGAAAAATTATACAACGTTCCCAAGAAATATACAAGCATTAAGTGTCGATTATTTTCTAGAAAATTTATGAAGCTAGATATATAAATGTTACAGTGCAGTCGGAGGGATGAGCAAAGATTGTGGAATTTGCGGGATTTATCCCCGATGGCTACGAGATCGTGCTACCCCGAAAAATTTCATCGCTGTGTATGGCCTCCTTGGCACCGTGCAGGCGATGGCTTTTATTTACATCGTTGTCACCCTTACGACCTTGGAAAAGAGATTTAAAATACCTAGTCGTACAACTGGTAAGGATCTTTTGATATCGTCTGTCTAACTTTTTATTTGATTTTTCCCTTTATGGAAATTATAATTTCAAATTGATCTCTATATTATTTATATCATACACTGTGACACTTACACTATTTGTTGAAAAATTGCAATGGCTTAAGAAACGAGAACTAATGATTTTTTTGATTAACTATATAAAGAAAAATAAATTCTAACTAAATTTTAACTATATAAAGAAAAATAAATTTCAAATTCGAAATTTAAATGGTTAATAGTTAACATTTTCTAACTAAATTTTAATAGCCCAAAAAACACTCCAAATTTCTAGGTATCGCAATTTTCTTTTGCGAACAGTATGTAATTGTTGCTTGGTAAATGTAATACTATTGAATGTATCATACACTCTAAAGTTTAGGATAGTATCAACTATATAAATAGTTATTAAACTATTCTTCTAATTCATTATTAGACTATTCTTTTAAATTGTCCTACGTGAAATAATTTATGACTATTTTTCTAATTCATTTCTAATTAAAATATCTGAGATATATTGTTGTTGAATAGATGTTGAATAAGATGTCAAAAAATAAATATTCAAATCATCAATTCATAGCTGTTATTAAAAGAAATAAAAAACCTACTTAATTATACAGAATCTAAAATTAGAACTAAAATGATAAGTAATTTAAATCTATTTCTTCATTACATAATAATAAAAAGAAGAGAAATAAATTTAGAAAGAAATAAATCTAGAAAGAAAGAAATCTGTATCATTTAAAAAAAATTTAAAGGAAAGAAGGATTGTTATTAATACAAAAGAAGTTGTGGAATATAAAACTATTTTTTTTTTCTGTTACAAACTATCCTGTCTTGTCTATTTTTCATTTGAATCTACTTGTACAAATTATAAATCTGTATACATAAAATATATATACGTATATGTATAAATATTCTTACCTTGTTCCATATTCTCTGACACACTGATGTCTTTTAATCATTGCAGTTTGTTATCGATGAATAAATTAAGTTCATTAAGTATCACCTGGAAACAGAAACATACAGTTTATGATAAAAATATTGATTTTAAAATTTGTATTGAATTTATCAAAAGTTTCAAAACATATTCTAGAAACAAATTTTTAAATTTCACTTATATTTTATAATAAAATTGTTAATGTATTAAATTTCTACTTTCGTTGTTGTATAAACTATTATTTAATAATTTTTCATCTTTAAAACAAATATATCTACACAGAAAATGTACAAATATGTAGTATTTGTTCTAAGACTTTTGAATAAGTACTTTCTATATTAAACAATTTTCAAACAGTTCTCTAATTAATATAGCAATAGTAAAATAATTATTTAACTGTGGATTTTTATACATTTTCGGGAAGTTCGAAATTCCAAAAAATGTACAAAACGCATGTAAATATACAAAGGTATAAACAATATTCAAATTGAAACACTTATTATATAATAATGCTAAACAAATTTCTATTTAAATTCTAGTTCTTTAATTATATTTATAAAATCGCACAAGCATCTACAATCTAATAGTTATATCTCTTCTATATTTTTACACATTATTACATGCCATAAAATTGAATCATTTATGCAGCAATAATTAAATAACTGCAATTGTATGGAAAGATTCTTATTTTTATTGCGATTTCTTTCGTCACTGATATCGAGTAGCTAACTGTTACGAGTTATATATTAAAGTACTTGGACTTGCATTTACACGCGCATATGCGTATTGTGTATTCGGCCCCGACGAAAGATAAAACTCGTGTCGGTGTGCGTTCGTCTACTAGGTAAGTAGAGTGTCGCAATCATAGAAGTGAGAAATCTGTCATTAGAGCAACGAGCGCTGGACACTGTGAAGACACACGAATATACTCTTCTCTTATTTTGCTTTTACTTCAAGATACGAATGTCTCTACTGGACTGCGAATTTCAATGCATTTATGCAAAAATTACAAGTTACAAAAATACACTCAATGCAAAAATGTATAAAATACGTAAAATGGAGTGTTTACTACAATGTATGTTATATAAATGATATAATGTTTATTGTAATATATAATATAAAATAAACTTCTATTTAGGTTCTATCTGCTTAGTTGTGCTTCTAAAAATTCAAAAATGCGTAACAATTCGCAGTCTACTCTAAGTTACAAAAATACACTCAATGCAAAAATGTATAAAATACGTAAAATGAAGTGTTTACTACAATGTATGTTATATAAATGATATAGTGTTTATTATAATATATAATATAAAATAAACTTCTGTTTAAGTTCTATTTGCTTAGTTGTGCTTCTAAAAATTCAAAAATACGTAACAATTCGCAGTCTATTCATTAGCAGCATACAATTTTTTGCATAATACATGTTTTCATATAACAAATGTGTTATTTGTTTATTTTAAGATAGCAAAATTACGAGACACAATTTATAGATGGTGAAACATCTAACATGATCACCTTGAATCATTTTATTGCCAATGAATCGATTATGTTTAGTATTTTAATTATCATTAAGACGAGCGTCACATGAATGCAAATAGGCGGATTTTTATATAAATTCGTATTTTCGTATATATATGAAGAATTTGGTTTCAAGCAGAATTTGTTTTATCAATTAGTATATGTTATATCAACTAGATTTAGTGTATATTGCATATTTTATATCGGAGATGAAAAATAAAAATTTTAAAAGAAAGTCAGTAACAGAAACTTGTTTATTATATATTATATAATGTGAAAAGAGTTTTCAAAACATGATTAAAATTCACTATTTTGTTTACAAATAAGAAGCATAAATGGCCGAAAATTTTGTTCGAGGTCGCTAATAGTATCGATAAAAATCTATTTTGATCGTTCATTATATGTAATTATCAGCGAAGGAAAATTTCTACTTGACTCGTAATAGTTATCAGCGAGGAAAATTTTATTTTTGGTTGCTTATTATTAGTGAATATTGTTTTATATCCTCTAATAACTGATAATCGTTATTTGCAGTCGAAAACATTTTAAAAAACATTGTAAAAAAAATTGTTATTCTAATTTTTTTTTTATTCTAGTTTTAACAACTATTGCTCTTATTTTTGTATAATATATTACGTATATTCCGTGCATTACTGAATTTCGTAGTGCATGAAATGAAATCCGCAGTTCAAATATACAACATGTGCATACAAGCATCATAAAAATATTTTTTTTCCACCTAATCTAAAGAAAAGTGACTTTGAACACTTTGTAAATAAGCAATTCAAACAAATGCATGCAATTATGTTGAATATCTCTCATATTATTTAAAAAAGAAATCGATCAATAATAACAAAATAATTTAAACTGATCGTCAGGTTTATACGTTACATTTTATTTTTCACTTTACTAAACCAATACAAACAGTTTTCATTTGCTTAAAGAAAATAATAATGAGTAAACTCGTTACCGGACTCGGTGTGAATTGATAGTGTCAATTCGATCGGTCCCCTTTCTGATTGTCATTTTGTTTCGTTCGAGTTTCAAAAATCGTACGATGGATAAAGGAATCGATAAAACTCTTATTTATTTCGTCCTTCATTCTTGCCTATTAACTGGCGTACTGAACACGCAATTGGACGAACGTTAATCATGTGTTACAGCGGCTGCGTGAGAAATCGATACAACTCTTATGCACACAAATATTTAGCCAGCGACTTTGCGGTTTAACGAGGTCGATGCTGTTAACTCGATCGATCGATATTTGTACATATTCGTTGGAATTATCGATACGAACGATACGTTTTCACGTACGTGTGGAATTTCGTAATTTTCCAAGGAACGAATCGTTATTTCAAATCAATAACGAATTAATTAACATGAAAATTATACACGCAGAAAGTAATTTATTATTGGATTATACTTTAATACTATTTAATTTGAAACGCAAAAGAAGATATTGGCTAGCAATACAAATGATATTGTATTATGTCATGCGTATTTATGTCATTATGTCAAAAGAAGATATTGGCTAGCAATACAAATGATATTGTATTATGTCATGCGTGTTTGTGAATTTTGTAATTTTTCAACGACGATACGTTATTCCAAATGTTCTGTAAAGTTACAACGTTAAATAATGCGTGAATTAATGCAAACATCGCAGAAAATAATTTATTACCGAATTATATTTTAATATTATCTACAAATTTATCCAAAAGAAATTATACGATTATTACTCACGAAATTGATAATTATTGTTTTCCTAAAATAATACAATAACATAGTAATAAAATAAATAATATAACATGATAATAATTAATATTATGAAAAAAAACTCGTATAACAATCCAATTGATCTCATTTTAAAGCGAGAAGCCTCTATCTCTTTTCGTCTTTCTTAAAAATATTTTTACATTATACATGTAGCAAGTGGGAAAGTAAAATGTTCTCGAAAATTGTAAAAATCTCATTCACGCGACGGGACATAAGCACGATGTCCAAAAAATGAAATTTTCTCTTTACAACCCACAGCTTTCAACATTTGCTGTACAATATTTTTGCGCCATTGTATTGAATTTTGAACATTTTGACGACGAAATGGTTAGGACTTTTTGAAAATTTCAAATTTAAAACATTTGTAAGAAATTCGAAAGGCACAGAGAATTAAAAATATATGCAAAAATACATGCGTAAGATGTTAAAAACAAAGTGCCATTTTTGATATTTAACAGCAGAAACAATTAAAAATCCGCAGTCTAGTTACAAGTAAAAATTGAATAATACAAGTCCCATTGTGTCCCTTCTTATATTATAAAATAGAGAAATATCTGTTAGATTTTACACGAGCTAAATTTATTTCAGGAATAATCCTTTCCGGCAATGAGATCTCTCAAATTTTATCCTTGATATTAACCTATTATGGAGGTTCTGGTCACCGTCCAAGATGGATCGCAATTGGTGTCGGTCTTAGTGCTTTATCGTGCCTAGTCCTCGCACTTCCACACTTCCTATACGGGCCAGGGCGAGATGCTCTGGCATTAACGAAGGAATACCTTGACCAAACTCTGTTGAATGCCACCACAGTGCCCCAAGATCTGGCAATTTGTCCACGTGTCATCAAACCGGATCGTTGCGACGAGGAAGCGCTGTTGGACGTTAGCATTCTTCCACGACTCTTGGTTTTCCTTTCTCAGTTTATCCTTGGAATTGGTACAACTCTTTATTACGGTCTTGGCCAGACGTACCTGGACGATAATACCAAAAAGAAAAATACTCCAATGCTTCTAGGTAAATATTTATCGATACATGAAAGTATTTAAACATTTACAGGAAATTTTTATAAACGTATTACTACAACTGAACCGATAACGATGAAGAATTGTCGATTTAAATTGTTACAATTGTTATAATGTCCATTTGATCTCATTTTGAAGCATGGAATCTCTACTTTGGCAGTCCTGAGCTCTCTCAAATATGATTTTAAATCGCATAATGAGTGGGAAAGTAAGAATATTGTAAAAATTGAGAAAAAGTTGTATTTAAATAGTAGTAAGAATATTGTAAAAATTGAGAAAATGTTGTAAGTAAATATATAAATATTCTTTGAAAGTGTTGAAAATTTTTTTCGTGACTAGATCCACCAAGAATAAAGACTTTGTTTTACAATGAACTTGGCCCTTGGAACGTGCTGTACGATTTTTTCCCAGTATTAGAAAATTCAAGTAATCCCAATATTTCGTTATTCTAAAATTCAATAAAACGATGAAAAAAAATCATACAGCAGATTTTAAGAGATCGTTACAAAGAGGAGATTTTAGTTACTCGAGGCTATAGTGGATCTAATGGTAAAGGAAATTTTTTATTGTTTCCAGAGACATTTGAATTTTTACGAAAAGTATCTTTATTTTCCTATATGCTACATAATGTAAAACCATATTTAGAAAAACGAACTCAACACTAGAGATTCTATGTTTTAAAATGACATCAATTGAATTATTATATAATTTTTCTTTTTACGAAGTTATGACAGTTTAAATTATCGATCAGTTTTTCATTTCAGTTATTGGTTCAGTTATGCTCTTCACTCTACGTATTCTATATTGTAATTCAATTTATTTATAATTTACAAAGACGAATTCAATATTTTTATATAATTTCATATTTTTATTTTTACAGTAGAAATTTAATATACATTTACTTTACTGCAATACATCATACAAATTTATTAACAATCACTTCTAAGCAATGCTCTATGTCTAATGTGTTACATTATTCAAAAAGTGGAATGCGAGAGAAAATTAAATGTTTCAATTTTCATTTCTGTAAAAATAGTATCTTACTAATAAAACATGAAATTATATGCTTTTTGAATTTGTTTTAACGTCTCCTACATATGGGGAAAAAAGTATCTTACCCTATTTGAAAAGACTAGTTTTTTTACTACTAAAGCAAATTATATTTGAATTTCTATTTCTTCTAATTATCATTGAAATTCTACTTGTTGTATGTTATTACTACGTTTTATGTAATTTTTTATAGTTTGCTGATTTTATAGAAATATGATAAATATTACTTTTAATTATTAATCCTTAAATGCATTTGATATAAGAGGTAACACATAATGTAATATACAATTGTAAATAAATATAATTATAATAAATACAATTATAAATAAATATAATTATAATAAATTTACAATTTATTATAACGTAGGTGTAAATAAAAACAAGTTGTTAAATTCAATTATCATTCAAAGTTACGATTAAGATCTAGATACATATCGACGCTCCAAGCTACAAATATTTTATATTATTTGATTGAAACATTTTTTCGTTTCTAAGTGCAATAATAAACAATGTTTCCCTAATTCTTTTTCTTTTCTAATTTAAACGAGTATGCTTTTTTATTACAATATTATATAATATTAAATACTAAAATTTATGAATTTAAATACTTAAATTATTACTTATTAAATTATTGTTTACTAATTTTTAATTATAATTTAATTTAAATGATTAAATTAAATTAATTATTTATTAAATTATTAATATTTACTTATTAAATTGTTATTTACAATAACTATAAATTACTCGGAATTGAAGAACAAATCTTTCATACGTTTGACGTTTCAGATTCAACCCTTTTTTTTTTAAGCGAATGCAGCTTCAGACTTTTGTATAAATAAGTTTCCTGAAGACTTTTAAAAGTTTCCGTACACTCAATGAAAAATTGTCGATACTTCGAACTTTCCTTTTATTAATTGCATGAAAAAAATCGTACGACATATTTTAAAGGATCGTTGCAAAGGGAAGACTTTAATCTTCAATACTATGATAAATTTTGTTATGAAAAAAATTGTGCAGTGTAAAAACATTTGAATTTGGAAATTTTTGGAAAGGAAAAGTATCTTTACTTAGTCTCTTTTAAAATGACGTAGAAACGGATTTTCGAACGAATGAATTCTATATTGTGAAAATAAAAGCTTCATCTTCAAAATGTAAAATTTATGTTTGCAAAATTGTCGACAACAATTTAAATTGTCAACCATTTTTCGTTGAGTGTAAAAATACTGTGCCGAATAGAAAAATACTTGCTATGTTGCTTTTACAAGCGGAATTTTTATATAAATTCATGTTTTTGAGGATTTAATTAAAAAAGTGGAACTACGACTGAAAACTATTTTACATAGTAAGTATTATAGAAAACACTATACTTTAGGATTTTATATATTTTTCTATATTATATATATTTTGTGTAATTTAGTATTTTAAAATTCCCTATAAATGCATAACCCGTAGTTATAATTTTATAAGAAAAGAATTATAATTTTGTAAAAAAAATCGTAGAAGAATTCATTCTTTTGCAATAACGATTCCTTTGAAGATGTTTTTACATAATTTCTCTTGAAATTCTTCAAATTTGAAAGTTTTTATTAAAAACATTTTTTAATAAATTTATTATGATCTTGAAGATTGAAATTTTTATTTCACAGTAACCTTTTAAAATTTGTACGATTTCTTTTTCATGAAAGTTTGAAATATCAAATAATCTTTCATTGAATGTACGAAAACTTTCTGAAGTCGCTGTATATAATATCTTAATAATTTTAATAATATTCATATATTCACAAATAAAAATTGAAATATTCAGCAATGACTAGTTAACATAAATATGTAAAATGACTTTTGACTACAGCTTTTGATAAATATTTATCATATAATTTTATCAATCAATGCATTCAATTTACAAATTTATTTTATCGAAATCTAATCTTACATGGTCACAATAATTACATTTATCTCATCTTAATTCTTTTTAGTCATAAATATTTTGGAACGAGTTTCTAGGAAAATTTTAATTAATGTATAATGTATAAAGTCAAATATTTGTATGTTGAGATATCCTTATTATTAAAGTTTTATTAGGATTTCAGTTATGCAAAATTATAATTTTGTGTAAGATAAAATTATAAAACAATAATAATAATAATAATAAAATAATAAAACGTCATAATAAATAATATAAAAAGCATTCTAATATTATTTTTCAGATTTTTATTCTGAAATATATTATATTGTTTTACGTCATATTTATTTTTTTATTTTTGATGAAGCAGTAAAACAAATTAATAGGATATAAAACATAAAATTTGTACTGCAAATGGGAACATTTAAATTTTAATGTTTAAATACTTATTAAATACTTATTACAATTATTGCCTTATTAATCCTCTGTGGATTAATTATTGTACATTGTTACACTATTCATAGAAAAACTGAATTTACACATTTAATATTTTTATTGTTTCAAGTTTTCAAAGAACGTACAAAAATATTACTGTATTATACAATCTGTATGATTACTGTATAATACAATGAAATATTTACTGTACTGTACAGTAATCAGTTTTTAAAATAAACCTTTGAAAATTTCCTTAAAGAATTTTCCAAAGGACTAAAAATTTGCTTCGATGAAATTTTAATTATATTATTAACAATCAAATAATGAAATATCTGTGTATTAAAAAGAAAAAGAAGAATATTTGCAGTAAATAAATAATATTTAGCTTTCTAATTATTATAAACGATATTTAGTTTGATAATGATATTTAATTTTCTAATTGTAATTATATCCTTTTTTAGGTTTTACTTTTGCTCTGAGAACTATTGGACCAGCAATAGGCTTCCTGCTGGGCTATGGTTGTCTCAGTTTGTACATAGATCCTAGTCTACATCCTGTGATTACAAAAAAGGATCCTCGATGGTTAGGTGCATGGTGGCTCGGTTGGATTATTTTAGGTGCCACTATGGGCATGTTTTCTATTCTTATAGCTATGTTTCCACGAAATTTACCGGCTGAAAAGAATATTGCACTCGACACTGCCAGAAAGGTAAAACATACAACTAACATTAGACAATCTACTACGCATTAGTCGATGTGTAGAACTTAACGAAGTCATTTGCTTAATTTGTATACGTAAAAGATTAGATAAAAATTATTTAAAAACTATTTTAAACAGAAACTGTTTAAGAATTTCGAAATAATGTTTATACGTGTATATGTACCGAATTTAAGGTATTTCTTTTCGCTTCACATTTTTCTTGAGATATCGAACGTGTGTGGATTGAAGATAATTCATTTCTTTGTTCAAGAAACACGCACGTCGTCAATGAGGGATTTAAAGAGATAAGAGTGAAACTGAAGAAATTGTTTTTCAGAAGTTCCAGTATTATCTATTTAATTAGTAATTATTTGTACGCTTGCAAGTAGTTTTCTCCTTATATCTTTGTGCTTTCTATCCTTATATGTTTATTGTTTTTCATTCTTTCAATAATTTAATTTGATAATTTAACGAATGTAATTTAATTTAATTCAATAATTTTTCTTGTATGTGATTATCCATCCATATTAATATATTTTTGCTTTTCCTCTGTAATATTTATTTAACAGTGAATCTTATATAAATAATTACGTAGAATACTAATTATATATACATATAGATAATTAAATATTTCGTACGTTTTTCAGGATGGTAGTATTCCATTGAAATTGCACCTAACTGTGCAGGAACAATATATGAAACCGATGGAGCCAAGAAAATCTTTAGAAACTGAATACATTCCAACTATGCGCGAATTTCCGAAGGCAATGAAGAGGTTATTGACAAATTGGCTGTTGACTTTCAATAATTTAAGCGGAGTGTTCTACGTATTAGGTGCATCGGCGTATATAACATTTTTGGCGAAATATCTTGAGGTTCAATATAGCACATCCGCTGCTGGTGGTACCGTAATTGCAGGTGTGACATTTGGAAAAATATAATGTTAAAAAGAAACAATTTTTATTATTTTTTAACGTCGTTGGGATTAAATTGTTTTTGGACTGTAGGAAGATTCCTTTTGCTATCTCATTAACATAATAAAAGGCATACACTTGAAAATAGTCGTATTATACTTATTGAAAAAGAAAAGGATTTAATTTGTCTATGTTTCGTGAAAAGTGAGATAATTGAAAGGAATACTTGCGATTGTAGCATCATTTTTTAGACAATTTGTATTAATCGCTCGTTAGTCTTTAATATTTCATTATTTTTAACAAATTTATCTGCAAAGATTTGAATACAATTGATAGTCATCTAAAACATATATCAATAATTAGCTTTTGAACGTTGCACACTAACGAAATTACAAGTAGAAAAGCAATTCGAAATACAATATCTGAAAATTCCAGCGACAGTGTGTATTAATGAGTTAATTATTAAGGGAAGAGACCTAAGTCATTGAAAACATGTAGATAAAAGAGATCGGATTGAAATTTCTATATTAAGCGAAAACAAGTATAATTCTAGTAAAATAATTTTAGCAAAACGATTATATAAGTATTATTACAAGTATTCTATTTTTGGTATTTTAAGCACTTTTTCATCATCGTATGCATACTCTGCATTTTTGAATCTTTAAATTATTTATAAATATATAAAAATTCACATCTAATTATTGATTATTTTTTCTGCTATTTTTGTGAAGAAGACATAATACAGGTACATACTAAAATTTAATATTAGTTTTGTTGAATATGAATACATTTATTATTTAATTCATCAGTACATAAGTATATAAGTTATTATAGCTACATATATGTAAACAATTTGAGATATTGTTTCCTATCAATTCTATTTTTATTGTTGATTAAATATTTTTGGATTGTTGAGAAGTAATTTTTTTTATCGATTATTGATAAAAAAAGTGATAAATAACAATTTTTTCAATTGATTAATATTAACGTATTTAGTATATTTTTAATATTATTTTATATTTAATATCTTTATATAATATAATAATAATAAACAGTAGTAGTCTTTTACCAAAATAATAAACAGCAATCTTCTTTTAATTAGTTGGAAAGGAATATACAAATCTACTAATTAATTAATAATTTTTTATAAAGTATAATGTGTTTATTTAGTTTCTCAGAACTACTATACATAAGCTTTTATGTTTTAAGGTCCGATATCGCTCGTTGGAATGGTACTAGGATTTCTGCTTTCTGGATTAATAATCAGCAAATTTAAACCTGGCCCTAGACCACTGCTAGCGTGGAATGTATTCGTCGGCATTTGTTTTGTTGCTGGTCAAGTATTATTTATATTTCTTGGTTGTTCCGATATCGGCATCGAAGGCCTCAACTTAGAAACTATGCAGTGAGTACGTTTTCTTCTTTTACAGAACATTACTTTTTAGTATTTTGGAATAATTGCAGTTATCAATTCATTCGTTTTGCTTATATATTTCATTTCCAGATTATTGCTCTGTTGTAATGTTATTTAATTTAGAATGTTATTTATATATTTAACATTTATGAAATTGTTTTTTACACAATATTTATGTAATACAATATAAATAGTTCATATATATGTATAAAATGAAAGAAAATAGAAAAGTAAGTGATTCTATAAGTCGTCATTAGAAGTGTAGAAAATAAAAAAAGAAGAGAACATATAAGTAATTTAATAATAATTAACATATAAAGAATTAAATATTAAAATTTTTCTCAAATAATTTTGTGACATATCTTGTGACATAATAGTATTTGTAATACAATTTGAATTAATTATATACAGTATATTATTTATAACATTAATATGTAAATGTCTATTGATACAAATAGCTAATAAAAGTAATTAATAAATAAAATACTTCTTTAAGCTAGTATTATATTTTAATGTAAATTATCATTCTTTCTAATATGTATAGCACTGTTCATATAATTTAATGCGACTTTTATGCATTTCACAAGAGTTATGGATATCTTGGAGCTATATTGAAAACATTAAATGTAGATTCAAGAAATGTATTTCACCTGTTTCATATACGTTCCGCTGTTTCATATTCACTTTGTGTAAATTGTTGAAAAAGGGACAATTAATTTTTTAAAATTTCATAACTATCATGATTTCGCATGCCAAATTATATTGATTGCCTAAGTTTGAAATTTGATAACTTTTTATCGAGAAACATAATACACACATAGAGTAGATTTGTATAAATTTTTCGATTCTCAATCCAAATGTAAGATTTGAAAAATAAAAGAACGGGAATTTAACACGAAAATGAATAACTTTATAGAATATTATAGTATTTTTCTATGATATTATATAGAATTTTACTAATAATGTACAATTATATTTTCTTATATTAGTTTTATATATTTTATTTATTTCAATACACGCGTTGGTACTTACTCTAATAATTAGTAATTATAGTATATAAACGTATTTTTGATTCGTTATTTGATAGATGCTCACGTGTACGATATTTCTAAACATATCCTAATATTATAAATTAGTTACACATACTAGAAGAACGTTATTTAACGCTCCAAGTTGTAACATGAAACACGAGTAAAATCTAAATGATTAATTTCTGTTCCAGAATGAATCTAACATTCAATTGCAACGCCGACTGCAACTGCAACGGCGTGAAATATTCTCCGGTTTGTCACGTGGCATCCAAAACAACATTCTTCTCTGCTTGCCACGCTGGTTGTCGAACAATAATCAACGACAAAGAATTTGGAAATTGCAGCTGCCTCCCGTTACTAAACACGCTAAATTTTGAAAGCCATTTCGGTTATACCACTGATGATGTTTCGAGGGATCAATCGATCTACGTGAACGACTCGCACGTGATGAATTTCGACAAAGTCAGAGCTGGTCCATGCACGAACGATTGCAGCGGCCCTTACCTCCTTTTCATGATTCTCACTTGTGTTATACAAACGTTGGCGTGTTCCGGAAAAATTAGCAACGTCCTGGTAAATTACCGCAGCGTCGAGAAAAAGGATAAAAGCTTCGCGCAGGGTGTTACGCTGATGATTATTTCCTTGTTTGCGTTAATACCTGGACCAATTATTTACGGAGCCATTATTGACTCAACTTGCTTGATCTGGGAGGAGTCCTGCGGAACCAGAGGAAACTGCTGGTTCCATCATGGAAAGAACTTCCGGTATTTAGTTAACATAACGTCAGCAGGTAAATGTTACCTATTCTTTTAAATATTTAATAATTAATAATTTTTTTAAATACTTATATATTTAATTCTTTTAAATATTTAATATTTGTATATTAATAATTTTACATTAATAATTATTATTAATAATTAATAAACAATTATTGAACATAAAATATTATTAATAAAATAAAATATTAATTATTATTAATAATTTTTTTAATACTTATATATTTAATTTTTTAAAATATTTAATATTAATACTTATATATTTAATTTTTTAAAATATTTAATATTAATATTTATATATTTAATTTTTTAAAATATTTAATATTAATACTTGTACATTTAATTTTTTAAAATATTTAATATTAATACTTATATATTTAATTTTTTAAAATATTTAATATTAATACTTATATATTTAATTTTTTAAAATATTTAATATTTTAATATTTAATACTTATATATTTAATTTTTTAAATATTTAATACTTCATAATTTTTTAATGTATTTATAGTTGATATGGAAATTGAGAAAATTATTGTTAAAATTATTAAAATATAAATTGTATTTGGGAATTATACGTTTTGAACAAATATTTATAAAATTAATGGATTTTAATATACTTTCACTTTTTTAATTCAAATTGTCAAATTATTGCACAATTTTATTGTTTTAATTGTTGCAATTATTTATTTTATTTTATATAATTTTATTTTAATTTAGACACTTACAATTAGAGTATTGTTCCTTGATATGAATGTATGAATCTATGTTCCTCTCACAAATTTTCAAATTCAATTTTGTCGAAAACGAGGCTGCAGTTTTAAAAATTTGTACCATCATCTTCACTACTTACTTATGATTCAGTTTACATATCAACTAAAAATCATTGTTACTAGAGAGAATCAGTTCTTATTATATAAAATCCAATTATATGTTCTTCAAAAAATTCACAACAATTGGAGTTTTGTTATACAGAACATAAACTATTTCTTTTTATAAAAATGATTCCAATTTAACATATAGTATTAAGTTTGACTAAAATTATACTTTTCTGTCTTTTGCAAAGTAATTTTATTGTAACGTTCACAAGTTTTATAGTCATATTCGCATATAGAAGATTTTACCATATTTATGAAAGTATCATAAAACATTGTTTGCATTGTTACCTACTACAAAATAATGTAAATATAATAGTAGATTCGAATGGTGGCAAATAGATGATAAAGAAGTTTAAAATTTTTATCTTATCTCGCGTCTCGATCCGTTCTTCAAAAAATATATTTTTACGGTGTAAATTACAATGACATAACGATTCGATTCTGATCCAATTGTAAACATCGTTAGCGACGTTAGATATGTTCGAGATCACGCTGAAAATCACAATTGTTAAATAATATCATCGAGTGGAAATAATTAGATAATTCGTCAGAAACATATCACGTAGGTCTTTGTCACGTAGGTCTATACGTTTCATTTGTGTCGAAAGTGTGATTAACATTTGTTTTGTTTCGCTTTTCAGCGATTTCGCTACGAAGGTATATTGCGTTATTGTATGAGAATGTGTTTTTTAGGATTCTCCGTGATAGGAGTGTTGTTCGATGTAGCGGTCTGTTATCTTGGGAAAAATTTGGATCTGTACGGCGCCCAAGAAAACGACAGACGTCGCGAATTTATTAAGGAAGATGACACGCCACAAACTGCCGACGGCGAGAAGAAGAAGAAGGAAATGAACGGAAATGTAAATTAAATGACAGGAAATTATCGTTTCTGCCAATTATACGTGAAAATGTTCCATGTGAAATTTTAAACTTTATTTGTTGTTACAGAGGCTACAAAAAGTATTCGTATCCATATTTTTGATGAAAATTTTCTCTTCCAATAATTTTGACAACATTAAATTTTTGTAGTCATTTGATAGTACTATTAAATAATATATATAATAAATACGGTAAATTGAAGATATAAATTTGATATTGAATTGAAGATAATAAATTTGATACAATTTGAATTTAATATTATCCTGATAATATAAAATTTTTGTAACTATCTAACAATATTACTAAACAATGAATACAGTAATTACAGTAAATTAAAATTTGATTTGAACCTAATGTGATTTTGATAATATCAAATTTTTATAGTCGTATTAAATAGAAAATATAATAAACTAAAGGAATGAATTTGATATAAATGTTGGACTGAATGTCATTTTAATAATGCAAATTTTTATAGTTATATGATAATACGCAATAAATGTAGTAAATTAGTAAATTAGTAAATAAATACAGTAAATTTGATATAATTGAATCCAATAGTCAATATCTAATATTAAGAATCAACTGTTTGTAGTTACATAATGATACTAATAGATAATAAATGTTGCAAATGTAGCAAATTAAAGGAATAAATGTGATATATAATTGAAACAAATAATTTACCTGCGATATAAATAATAATAAATATAACGTACTTCTTGTAGCCACTGTAAAACTTAAAAAATTTCTATAATCAATATCGATAATGATATTATACAGGGGAATGATATTATACAGGGGAATTTTTAATAATATTTATATGTCCTATTGAATTAATTTAGTTAGAGAAATTGACCATAAATTAAAGTAAAATTCAAAGCATTTAAATGACGTTAATATTTTTGTTTCTTTTTTTTTAAGTTACACTCCAGACTGGTTAAAATATTTGCACGATTGTTGTACAGCATTATTTCTATTTGTAAATAAAATATGAATTTTTGTTAAATTTTTGTATGATATTTCATTTGATCGTTATAAATGTTTTTGTACAAGTAGACACCGAAAAGTGATTTTCAAGGAAAATCTGGTTTTTTTCTGATAAATCTATGGCAAACAAAGTATAATACTCGACGAGACAGAAACGTTTAATCGAAGTGAAATGAAAACAACCAGGTATGTATATCTCGGCGTGAAATGCGTTCATTCTTGGTAACAATTACACAAAATCATTAAAATTGCATAAAACTAATAATACAATATATGTTAATAATATAGTATAATGTACAATCGAATAATTAATAAAATATATTTTATCAAACTTTGGATAAATTTATAATATATTTTCAATATATATACAGTTTAACAGCAATATTGTAAATCACTCGAATTAATTCATATTTAATATTGTAAAAGATTTAGGTAGGAAAAAAATAACATTTCAAACATTACATAATATACATAAAACTATGAAGAAAATATTTAGATTTGTTTCAATATATACAGTTTATAAATTATTACTGTTATATTTGTTGTTATAAAGTAATTGGATTAATTAACATTAATAATATAATATTGTACATCATGATATTGAAAAAACATAAATAACTTAAATACAATGTATTAAAATTGTTTTAAGTTAACATTATATATATATAAAAATAAAAAATATATTTAGACTCTTTCTAAATATTTTATAATTTACATTTAATTTTTGAATAACGAGAGCTTTATTTACTTAAATATTTGACGTTTATTATATTTCGAATTATTGTTATTTGTGTATTATTTCATGGAACTACAGAGGCTCGCGAAAGTATTTTTATAGAAATTACATGATATTCATTGAAATATATACTTTAGAAACACAATTATTTAAGTAGTAAAATATCTATTACACTTTACTATTAAATAAATATACTTTAGAAACAGAATTATTTAAATAGTAAAATATCCATCATATCAATAATTCAAGATATTTAGTATTAATAATATGTTTAAGGTAATTATCTATATAAATGTACATAAAATGTATATGAAATGATAGAATTTTATAAATCTCTAAAATTATTTGTAATTTAGTGACTGAGTGCTACAAAAGAGTTATAATTGTTTTGTCGAAAGTACCGTTTATCATTTTATCTTTTTGACATAAGACAAAGTAATCCACTAGTCAACATTCAATTCAAATGCATTTTAAAACTTGATCTGATGCAGTAAAAATTGAATATTAATACTAATTTCCAAATAGCTACCTGAAGAGAAAAGATGATTTTATTGATGTAAAAAAATTATACTGGGAAAATACTCAATGATTAACAATGATCCACTAAAAATTTTAATTGCAAACTTTGTTTTAATTTTAATTGCAATAGTGAAAATGTAAATGAACTCTGGCAAAATTTTAAATTGATTAATATTAGTTTTAAAAGATATAAACTGTCTGAAAACTAAAAGTTTTATTAAGTATTCAGTCATTTTGTTTACAACAATTTAAAATATATTTACAGTAAATATTATGCAATTTCTGTATTTATTTTCAGAACGTTTTCAAATTTTGTACTCACGGAAGTCGTGTTTCATTATTGGACAGGGATTTTTGAACAAATTTATATTTTTATACAACTCAAAAAGTAAAACTTAGAAATTTACTTCTCCTAATAAAGTATTGATGGAAAAACAAACATTATATAACATGCATAATATATTTTTATGTATAACATCCAAATATATTCATGAGTCTTTGTACATGAACGATTTTATTTTTTTAAATCAATTTAATTTTCATACAAGTGTAAAAAGATCCACTTTCCGTTTTATCGCTACAAGATAAAATATTTAACGCTATGACAATGATCGAGCATCTCCACTTGAGCCAATTGCATCATCATGGCGAATTTCAAATTCTCCTTTTTTTACAATTATTAAAAAGATTATTTTCGTCAAAGTTAATATTAATTTTTGTTTAAACAGAATATAATTGTATAAATTTATTTATAGAATACTTATATTATTAAATTATTATTATTATTATTATATCATTATAGATCCATTTATTTCAATTGTTATTATTTAAACTACAATGATTTGTATAATTTTAATAATTCTCTCTTTTTTTCACAATTGTTGAAAAGATTACTTTCGCCAAGGGTTAATATTAATTTTTGTTTAAACAGAATATAATTGTATGGATCTATTTATAGAATTCTTATATTATTAAAATATTATTATTATATCATTATAGATCCATTTATTTCAATTGTTATTATTTAAACTACAATGATTTGTATAATTTTAATAATTCTCTCTTTTTTTCACAATTGTTGAAAAGATTACTTTCGCCAAGGGTTAATATTAATTTTTGTTTAAACAGAATATAATTGCATGGATCTGTTTATAGAATTCTTATATTATTAAAATATTATTATTATATCATTATAGATCCATTTATTTCAATTGTTATTATTTAAACTACAATGATTTGTATAATTTTAATAATTCTCTCTTTTTTTCACAATTGTTGAAAAGATTACTTTCGCCAAGAGTTAATATTAATTTTTGTTTAAACAGAATATAATTGCATGGATCTGTTTATAGAATTCTTATATTATTAAATTATTATTATTATTATATCATTATATAATGATATAATAATAATAATTATTATTATTATATCATTATTGATCCATTTATTTCAATTGTTATTATTTCAACTACAATGATTTGTATAATTTTTAACAGCGTTAAATTAGAAATCATGGAAATTCACATAAACGCAGTATCCAGCAGCAATCGATTTTGATCCATTACAGAAAGAAACCTAACTTGATCAGATGTATTTGAAATTTTTGTTACACGATAAGCGAAGATCGTCCCCTTGCAAGGGTCTGTGATAGTCCGCGATGGTTTCGTTAAATCCCCCGCAAATAGACCGTAATGCTCCCAGGGACGAAAAAAGTTTCGGCTGGCTGTATGAAACAAAAGGGAAAAGAAAGAAAGAAAGAGAGAAACGAGAAGGTATACTTAAATCAGGCGATCGACGGTTTCAGCTGATTCGTTGTGCGCGCAGAGAAGAAGAAAGGAAAGCAAGAGGGTAAAGGTCTGAGGGCTTGTTCTCAGGCTTCGCATGTCGAATTCTGGTGGTGGTAGCTGTTACAGAGTCCGCTAGTCAAAGGATTACGAATCCGCGATGCTGAGAATGAAAAAGGGAGTTTTTTGTTTGAGAGCCTTTTAATTTTTAAGCTCGGGCAGGCCAGAGGAGAGCTGGAAGGCACAGCCGCGTAATGAATTCCGCGACGTCTTCGTGACGTCAGGACATTTCTATCGATCGCATCCTTAGGCACGCTCGCGGAGGATGCGCTTTGGCATTACCGAAGGATTAAGTGTCCTGCCTTATTCCTCCGTAAATAAAGAAAAATCACGGCTACTATCGACGTGCTCGTTGCTCGTCCACCCGTTCTCCTCCGAGGTCCACTTGCTTTACGACTCTGTCTTTTGATCCAGGATTTCTTGTCCGAGAATTTCCTTTGCTTGCTAAGTGTCATGAATTGTGGTAATTATCTGTTCACGCGTGACGATTAGGGTTGAAAAGTGAGAGGAAAGGGATTCGAAGAAAGCAATGTTTCGTAATTGCTTCAATTTAATCTTTGGTATCATCTTACAATCTTTTCATTTTACTCAGACAAATTTCTATCGATGCATTTTTCTTATATTATACAAATAAGCTTTTAATATTATGATTTTTTTTTTTTTGTATAAAAATATGAGCGTGATATCATGTACGAATATATAGTATTAATTATAATAATAAATTATAATGTTATAATATATTATTATTATTAATAACCAAGTACTGCTTATTGTTATAATATTATAATAATAAGGGAGAGATATTATAATATTAATTCAATCAGATATTATAATATTATAATAACCAAGCACTGCATTTGTGCTGCATAGATTATAACAACATGAAAAGCATAATAGAAAGAAGATATTTTGAAACAGTTAAAATAAAAGTTTTTGTTTTATTAGAAAATAACAAACGTTTAAACATTTAAATAGAAATAGTTTTTTAAATTGTAGAAATGAAAAATATGTAAAATATCTGGTAAAACTTTAAAA